AAACCGCTACAAACTCACCCAGTTTGAACGCTATCACTTCAACAAACCCACTGGACATGAAAGATATACAAAATCCATCAGAAGTATCATCAAAGAAGAATTCAATAACTTCTCAAAAAATCAAAATGGGACATACAACCAACCACACAACCCTCGATACAATAACCCACGTCATCAAACCCGACAATACAATGCCCCACATTATAATCAAAACTCGTATCATCACAATAATGGCCAACGCAATTACAATAACCAAAATCAAGACCCCGTCTTTGATCCTAACTACGGTGACTACGATGGTTATCATCCATCACCCCCCATGAATCAAAACCGCCGTCCCAATTACAATAACCGACGCTCATACAACAATCAACAGTATCAACACAATCCACAATACCAACAACATCAAACACAACAACCCACTCAACAAAATCATCAGTCAAAAAACTAGCACGGGCAACTGCAGTTGATGGTCAGTTGGAAAACCCGCCTAACAAATCCACACATAACCAACCACATAAAGATAACAAAAACAATACTCAACAACAAACCCATAACCTAACCACCATGGATATTCGAAACAAGTATAAAGATAAAAATAAACATACTAACCTTTTATTAGAAGAAGAAGATGATGATGAAGAAGATATAGATTTCTACGTTGCTACCAGAAAAGACAGATTACCTGATGTCCTACATGATCCAAAATCAGCAAAGAAAAGAAGAACCAATGGATTGGAAGACACACCATCCTCATCAACACAACCACCACAACAAAATATTCCTACACAAGAAACGGTTGAAAAGAAACAAAGATCAGTACCTACACATCCCGCTATTAAATATAGTATCGCTGACGATGTCCTTACCCGTAAAGCCGATATTGAAGTTGGAGATCTACTCGAAGCATCACCATACCTAAAGAAACAGCTACGTGATGTCTGTCGACCCAAAAGAAGAAAGCCGCCTATAACATTGAACGCCATGGAAGAAGGAGAAGTTGTGACAACTGCCGCATATGCTGAAGTATATATTGGGGACAGAAAAATCAAAGCCTTGATAGATTGTGGTGCCGCCAAATCATGTATGTCAAGAACCATGTTGAAGATGCTGGGAATGGAAATCGATACCCCATCTACCAATGTATTCACCCTTGGTAATGGAACCAGACAACCTACCCTTGGAATAGTCCTTGATGTCCCTATCAAAATAACCGAAGGCATTAGTATACCCACTAACATGGAAGTACTGCCACAATGCCCATCTCACCTAATCCTAGGAATCGATTGGTTGAATCATGCACAAGCCATTATCAACATCAAAATGGGAACACTAACTGTAACCTATAAACACAAGAAGATGATTATTCCTATCACATACATCAAAGCATCATCAAAGCCGGTTACCTTGAAAGCATCCCACGTTATCTATGAAGAAGAGAATCCACCACCAAGTCAACCAATCCCTGTCAAACCAACACCAATAATGGACGATCAAGATACAAGTGATGAAGATGAAATCACCGATGAAGAAACAGAAGAAGAAGAATGGGAACACGACGACAAAGACGATGAAGATCAAGAATTGTGTCAAATCACACCTGCTGAAGACCAAGACTACGCTTTCCGAATAAACCATGTATCGGACACCGAAGTAACCATCAGTACCAAAGAAAATGGATTCACCCTTCCACCATACACCATGTGCACCGTTGATTTAAATACACCCAATGATAACGCTCTACCAACTATCATCCACATGCAACCAGATGTCACCTATGAAAAATATTTGAAAGACAATCAGTTCATAGATATCAACATAACGGACAACGACAAAAGTTACCCACCGAACACTATCATTGCGCATCGAATGACAAAGTTTGAAATAGAAGAAGACGACGAACAATCCACAGGATACGAATTAGCACAGATGGAGATAAAAGACGACGACACTATACAACCATCACAAGAATTGGACCCTACAAAGGAAGAAAAACTACAGTTAGGAGATGTACCGCCTGATATACGCAAGTCCTTTATACATCTACTTACAGAATTCCAAGATGTATTTGACTGGCACAATGACAGAATGGGCAAGACCACACTACTGGAACATGAAATTATCCTGAAGGAAAATGCACCACCTATCCGACATAGACCATACCGAATGGCACCCGTGGAACAAGAATACTTGAAGCAAGAGTTGGACCGATTATGTGACCTGGGAATCATCAAACCAGCAAGTACACCATATACCGCTCCTATAATATTAGTCAAGAAGAAGAATGGTGACTACCGAATGGTTGTTGACTATCGCAAACTAAACGCTTTGACCAAAGTTGACGCTTACCCTTTGCCAAAAATTGACGACTTGATTGATGAACTAGGCAGTTCAAGAATATTCACAGCGCTAGACCTACGTTCCGGTTTCCACCAAGTACCATTGAAACAAGAAACCAAAGAATTGACTGGATTCGTGACAAAGTTTGGAACCTATCAATACGAAATGCTGCCTATGGGGTTAGTAAATAGTCCTGCTACCTTTCAACGCCTAATAGACCTATGCTTTGGTCCATTACTAAACAAGTGCCTTGTTGCTTACATTGACGACCTAAACATCCATTCCAAAACCTATATACAACACATACAGGATCTACGACAAGTATTCATGTGTGCACGACAAGGAGGATTATTATTCAACATTGACAAGTGCGTATTCTTCAAAGACGAATTGAAATTTTTGGGCTACGTGATAACAAAAAATGGAATAAAGACGGATGAAGAAAAAATAAAAAAATTCAGGAATTCCCACCGCCTAAAACCCTTAAACAAATCAGGGGCTTTATTGGATTGGCCTCTTACTATCGAAGATTCATAAAAAACTTTGCTTCCATTGCAAGACCGTTACATGAACAAACCAAGACGACAAAAAATATTACCTGGAACGAAAAAGCCACAGATGCCTTCAACCTTTTAAAACAAAAATTAACACAAGCACCTATACTACGACGTGCTGATTTTTCGAAACCCTTTATTATTGTGTGCGACGCCTCCCAAAAAGGAATTGGTACCATCTTATCGCAGCTAGACGACGATGGCAAAGAACACCCTGTGATTTATGCAAGTCGCGGATTAAAAAACAGTGAACAAAACTACGGTGCTACTAAATTGGAATGTCTCGCCCTAGTATGGAGCCTGCAACTATTCAGACCTTATTTACTTGGCAAAAAATTCACTGTCATATCAGACCACTCACCTTTACGATGGTTGGTACAATCACCCAAAGTATCTGGCATTGTAGCAAGATGGATCCAATACTTGGCTGAATATGACTTTGAAATTAAGTATCGAAATGGACGAAAACAGGAAGCCGCTGATTTCCTATCACGTCTGGGATACTGATCGATCCTCAATTTAACCACCTAAAAAAAAAAAAAAAAAAAAAAAAAAAAAAAAAAAAAAAAAAAAAAAAAACCATGCGACCAAAAAAGGGACGACGTCGTAAAAAGCTATCCTCTAAATTAACTCACATTATCTTACTTTTATCTGATACACACAACACAACTGATACTCTGTCAAACTCTATATTTATATTTGGTGCTCATTCTATTCTCACGCATTTGGCACTTAACGAATTCTACAATCACATATCTGGTGACTCGACAAATAACAACGATGGAAGAACGAAAAATTAATCAACTCAAATATTATCTTGAACGATTGAAATTCCCCGAAGATGCGACCAACAAGTGCGACGTCGTAAAAAGCTCAACTACCACAACAAAAGAAATTATCAACATGGACGAACGAACGATCAATCAAATCAAACGTTATCTAAAGAAATTGCAATACTCAGAAGACGCTACAGATCGCGAAAAACGATACCTGACTCTACATTATTATAACAAACGATATATACATATTTCAGTACTCACTTTTATTTTGGTGCTCACTTTTTACCTGACTCTACATTATTTCGAAATTGAAATATTATCTTACCTCAACACCGAACAACAAACAACAAACGAAACGAAAAATCATAAATCAATTTCTCAAGATGCGTTACGACTGGAGGACAGTCTTCTCCTGGCCCCCAGGATGTCGAGGATCGGCCTCTGACCATCCCCTGACCTCTGGCTATGCAGTGACTGGTTTTCATGCTGACCGATGTTGACAAGTGTCGACAAGTGTCGTCCTGCACCACCCCCTCATATATAGTTAGCCTCTTTTTTTGATTAGTATAAATACCTCCACTTCCCCCGCAACAATTTTATTTTTTTCTTTAGTTATTTATTTTTACATATTTATCTCAACCTTTTTTATAAAATTCAGTACAAAGGTTTTTTAACCACCAAATCACTGTCTTATTTTTATTTTGTTTCTATCGTCTATATAGAAACTTTCTCTTATTTTTTTGTGACTACAAGTCCTCTTTTTATTTTATTTTTACTGTGTGTTATACACTTATTTTTATTGAACCAACAAAGGTCAATACTTTTCTTTTTATTTTATTTTACTTTTTCAAGTTTATTTTTTATAAACTTTCTCTACAGTTGGACTTTATCTACAAAAGTTCTGGTGCTCACTACTATCAAATCTATTTTTGTCCGATTCAGGAACAAAATATTTCAAATTCCGCCGAAGGAAGAAAATTATTTTTCAAAGCTCCAAACGATCAAAGCTACACCAAAGGATCACTCAAGACATCCTATTTAACCCAGAAAAACATAAAAAACCTACAAAAACACAATCCAGTTGGACTAAAACCACAAATTTAGCCGCAACACCACAAATTTAGCCGCAACACCAGAAAAACATAAAAAACCTACAAAAACACAATCCAGTTGGACTAAAATCACAAATTTAGCCGCAACACTACCGTTCTATTTTATTTTTCACTATTACATTTCAAAAGGTTGAACTTGAGCCTAAAAGGCCTGGTGCTCACTTACGTTAAAAAAAAAACTAAAAACAACAACACAATATGTTCACCAAAAACTATGCAGACTGGGAGATTCGAACTCCCGCCACCGAAGTGACTAGATCCTGATTCTAGCGCATTAGACCACTCTGCCAAGTCTGCTTACATTTTCTTTAAGGTTAAAAAGTAGTATATATTTCCAGCTGAAATATTCAATCGCCGCTTGCGCTACTATTGGCTCCTTTTTTCCGCTCCCCTTCCCTTCACACCTTATTTTTCTTTTCTCTTTTATTGTTCCCATTCCCCTCCTTTTTAATCGTCCCTTTCTTCTTGTTTTGTTTTCCTCTTATTTATCTGTCCATTACTTTTGTCTCTTCATTTCACTATCTCCACAACAATTACGTACACTCTTGCCAACGATAACGACATTCACCATCTCCTCGCTTACATTCATTCCCCTATTTTATTGTAGAGTTAGTCAGATCGCCCTTAGTCTATCTCCTTGCCATATTGTAGTAATTAGTCAGATCGCCATTAGTTTAGTCTCTTTAGAATAGCGTAGCTGGATCATGTTTGTGTGTGGGGTGGCCGGTATATATGGGGCGTGTGTTTATGTGTGGAAGTGCGATTACGATGAATGGTTGGAACAATTCCTTTAAAAAACAATATCATATCCTTTTTTTTTTTTTTTTTTTTTTTTTTTTTACTTCTCTCTCAGTTTATTTTTGGACTTCCCCTTTGCTTATTTGCCCATTTTTATTATTTTTTCAGATTCGTATTTTGATATTGCGAGTGTAAAGATAATCAGACAATTGGCCATAGTCCATTTATTACACCCTAGCCTCTCATTTATGTGGCATTGCTAGCCCAATGCCCATTTCTCAGTCAATCAGCGCTTTTCATTTACTAGCTTACTGTCATTACATCTTTAGCTATTCCCAATCACATTTCCCCGCTACCATCTTACATCTTCCCTAACCATCTTTTACTATCCCAACCATCATCATTATTAGCGTTATTATTTCCCTTTCATCTATTTCTATCCATTTCCCCCAGACAAACACACTTACCAGATAAGTGCAAGCTCACAGATCAATCCGTCACTTGCACCCCTGGATAGTTGTACATAGTTTTTATACCACTCTTAGCGATTCTATTTTTATTTATAATATCCACACACAAAGAACTCTCTTTTATTTTATTATTATTTGTGAACTTGAATTTTAAAAAAATAAATTATCATCTTTTTCTGCAACCCCATTCTTAGTTGTTGTTTTTTTGACTATTTTGGACTCAAACTGATCAGCTATCATTATACACACATAACATTTCTGTAGTATTGGTGGCTGGTAGAAGAATCGTGGTTTATTTTCGGCTTTATATTATATCCTAGCATATTGGTGGCACAGCAATTCAATGAATCAAAGGATGGCTATAAAATTGGACATATTTTATTAAAGCAATATGGTCAATGCTAAACTAAGCGCGAGAGGCTCATTATAACAAGGGAGTTTTTGGATGTAGCGTGAAGGAGACTAACGGGAGAACTGGTGAAGAGTGACCAGCGCTAATCTAAAAGGGTAATTGTGGAAATGGGTATAATACCTTGTACTGTACTGTACAAGGAGGGAGAATGACTGAAGTATATTTTTTATTGAAGCATACTGTAACAACGGTCAAAATCAATCAAAGGTGGTAATGTAGTAAAAAACAAGAATATATAGCACAAGACATGAGAGATACAAATGGGACATAAGTTTCATTGAATTAAATAAAAAAATACATATTTTATTCAAAAGTGGATACGATCTAACACTAAACTACGCTAATGGAGGAACCAAAAAGCCAACTCATGGCGCCCTCAGATCCAAGATCCAAAATGAAAGGGGTTCCTCATGCAAGTTGTAATCCCTGATCTGAAAACGCTTCTAAACTAGTCCTGACACTAATCTAAGATCGCCATAATCTCAAAAAAGTTGAATGATAAGGAAAAAAGGGAAGGAAAAATAAAGAAATTGAAAGGAAAGAGAGACGAAAAAATATAAAACGGGAGTAAATAAATATTCACGTGGGCGGGATTTGAAACTATTTTTTTTGGAGGATACGAAACGGAAACTTCTTTCTTGTTCTTTTTACTTCTTTTGTATTTTATAATATATCACCACCATGCAACATCATTAGCATGATAGAGTTTGTTTTTTTTTTTTGTTTTTTTCAAAAACAACTGTCACCATTTAACAGCGGCGACGTGACGGTTCCCTCCTTTTTTTCAAAGCGACACAGAGTGATGACTCTCTTCTCAAAAAGAGCACCGTCACCATGCAACATTATCATCATAACAACTTTACCATCCGTTTACAGTTTCCAGAATCGGCAAAGTTGTAACTTGGGGACGAGTTTACGGTAATTACCACCACTCAACATCAGCAACGTGGTGTATTTGGACTAAACATGGATCCAGTCGGCCTAATTTAGATTACTCCCTTCACTGTGGAATAGTTTGTTATTTATCGTAGAATAGCTTACCCTCTTTACTTGGGACTAGTCTAACCTACCTTATATTTATTCTACGCCAATTCAACCCCGGATAAATTATTCTCCACTCACCACACCTCTTCTTAATAGTCTCATCTTCAGATAGTTGTTATGATTTTGTTATTAGATTAGCTTTGTATTGGTTGTCGTATGTTATATCTGTATATAAATAAAATATTTCTTGTCCTATTACTACTGTATCAATCTCTCTTATGATTATTTGATAGTCGAATGGGTAATCTACACTATATATATGCATGTAATAAAAAAAGAAGATAGGTTTGTTTGTGCCAAAAACAGAGGTTTGAGACTAAGTCGACGATAATCGACTAAATGCTCAATCATCCATTAAAAATAGGGTCAAGAGGAATTCTTTGTGTGATTTTTTTTTAAAAAACATAACAGTAAAGGACGCATAAAAAGTCTGAATCTAATGCGTTGGTAAATCTCAAACAAAAGAGTTTGTATTTTCTCACATATTTTATGTATGCTGTAATTGAAAAAAACAGACGTGCACTTGTTCAAAGCTGTGAATAAATAATGATTTTACGACATACTACATACATTCAGTAGCAAACTGGAACAATATGAATCGATAAGGTGATGAAAGTAGTGATCTGTACAGTGACATAATACAAGTAAAGAGTAAAAAGCTAAAACAGCGAGTACGATGTTTTTATTTCATGTATAGATTGGATAGGTCCTTCGTTTTGGAATTTGGAGTATCCCCAACCCCGCTACAACCATAGCACCATACAACACAACATAGCACAAAAAAAAAAAAATACAGAAGGCTAAATAAGGCAATGATATGGAATTTTTATTATGAAAAAGTATTTGGTAATTCTAAACTACTGTAAAAATGAATATGACTATCTATCAGCGAATCCATCAATTGATAGTCCAAAAGATTGGTCTTGAATGATTTTCTCTAATAATAATAATAAAGAGTGGTATTAATTAAATCGGCAATTCCATTCCGTTTTTTTTTTTTTTTTTTTTTTCGCAAACTTACGAGAGCATATTGCATACTTTGATATATACAATGATATAGTTGTTTTGTGTCTTCGGACTTCTTGTCATGACCATCCTGTAGAAGTTTGGACCAAATCGCAGATTTTAGCTGTTTCTTGTTGGTGTCATGGCAAGATGATTCGGAACTGGATTGCTGTAATGATGCTGGTATATTGCTTTTCGACGCCGATATTGGATTAGTTGGTAAAGACGGTTGTCGTTTTAAATCTGCAGAAGGAAGTAAGGATGACGCTGAAGCCGATTTTTCCAATGTTGACGGAAGAGGTGGTGGTGGTGGTTGGAGTCCCATGTTGCCATTTTTTCGATGCGGTATAAGTTTCCGTTTTATGACATTCAATTTTCGTTCTGGCCTGTTCCGCCTAGATTCATCACGAAGTTGATCCAGTTTCCCTAACCGATCCATATCCTTTTTCAATAAAGATTTCCATGATTGTTGTCGTTGATGATGATATATATAACTTGATCCAGTATGCTGATTTTGTTGTTCATGATGCTGCTGAAGTTGCTTTGACTTTGAGAAAAGATCAGGTCGATAAGATTGTAGAATAGATTCAGTCATGTCAGGACTTGAAACGTCACCGTGGTTGATGTTGGATTCACTGCTGTTGTCTCCGAACGTAAACGATGGTACCGGTTTGATATTGTGATCATTAGAGAGGTTGTAAAAGTTCGGGTAGTCAAATCGATCACGAAGTACTTGGCCAAAAACCTGTAGTGATATGGATCCTTGCGAATGTTCGTCAAATTTTCGACCGATCAATAGCATGTATGATTCCTTTGCCAGAGGGTATACAATTTCGTTATCTACAAGAAGGAGAAGAAATGTGAGATAGAATCTGGCGTTATTTTCTTTACATACCATCAAAGGGATTTGCTGGGATGAGTCCATTGTTCCGTATGCATATTAGCAAAGCATATTTTGGTTGTTGGTAGATAGACATGGGGTTGTATACTTGTGATAAAAAATCTGAGAGGATGGATGACTTTGTGAATCTGTAAATAAAATAAAATTCAGGACTTTCAGTATGACGGCACCAGTCCTATATACATATATATATATATCATTAGTGCTACTTACGCATAATATCGTTGACTTGTTAGTGAATAAAGCTTAACAGTATGAAGTGGGATGACGGATTCCACAGTAAAAGAGACTTTATGTAACCCACAGTCTTTTGAATTCGTAGTATGTTTGACAAGCGATAGATCTAGTATAATATACACAAGAGAGAAGGAAGAGAGATAGTTGAGTTGAGTTGTTCAAGTTGAACATTGATTTTACTACGCACCTTCAAGATCGTGTTGACCACGCCATGTTGAGCCTATGTCAAAGCCAAATGTTACAATCAAAATATTAGTATATAAGTTAAATCAATAAGAATCAATTTGTTCTTTATTCGTGGTTGATTACCTTTTCTAAGTCGCACCGTTCCATTAAGTACCGTATTAGCATCCATCTGAGGTGAAGGGAACAAAAAAAAAGGAATTGAGCAAAATAAAAGAAAATCTTCTCCGACTGTAAAAAATCCACTGTCGGAGTACCTGTTTTGCACAAAATATTTCTAACAAAAGTGATACACGTTTAAATCATA